TATATATATATTTCCTTCACGTACAGATATGTACCAGACAACCACATATATAAACAAGGGAACTGAGACGCCATGAACCTTTAACCACATAAAGCTAAAGTAGGCTTCAAGCATGACATTGGAAAAGGTGAATTGATATATCTTTCGAGTTTGAGTGGGTTACAAGTTTCAATTTGGACATAACTATGACATCCACAGCAAACAAGGATGTCCGATTGTCCACACTTCGTCATTAATTGCAGAACCTTCCATTTCACCACTATGGCATTTGTTGTTTTTTTTTCTTTTCTAAAATTTGTAAATGCAGCAACTCTTCACGTCTCTGAGACACACTAAGACAGCACTCAAGATTTTTTTATCATGATAAACTACTTCTTCGGATAGCCGGTTGATTTACTGATGTAAACCTAGCATCTAGTGTTGCTATTCTATTTTGTATAAAAAAGTCTTGTTTTAGGCAGGTTTTGTTCCCGTTGATAATGGTGAAACAAACTTGAAATGTTCTCTCTTTTAAAATAAAACAATCAACTACAAGTACAACACACGGTCTAGGCCAAAGATAACGCAGCACACGCCAAAGGAAGGACAAATAGCTCTAATTTAATTTGCATTTGACAATCATTGATAATTATATGTCAAGGGTCCATAGCTCAGTGGTAGAGCATTTGACTGCAAATCAAGAGGTCGCCGGTTCGAACCCGGTTGGGCCCTTAGGTTATCCTCACAAGGTAGGGGTAAGGTCTGCATACACACTACCCTCCCCAGACCCCATAGTGTGGGATAATACTGGGTATGTTGTTATTAATTATATCTCGACCGCAATTATAGACATGAAACTATAATGAGAAACAAGATCCTACAAACTAGTTATTCATTCTCATTGCTCGTGTTTCTTACCACTTATTATTCCATTTCACACATAACCAAAGATGAAGTTGTAGAGTCGGGATAGTTTTATGAAACCACAGAAAGTTTGTACAAACATAGCTCTAATTTAATTTGCATTTGACAATCATTGATAATTATATCTCGACCGCAATTACAGATATGAAACTATAATGTGAAACAAGATCCTACAAACTTGTTATTCATTCTCATTGTTTGTGTTTCTTCCCACTTATTATTCCATTTCACACAGATAAGCAAAGGCGAAGTTGTAGAGTGGGGATAGTTCTATGAAACCACAAAAAGTTTGCACAAACATAGATTATGCGAAAAGTAATATAACATGAAAATATGATTGATAATATAGACAAAACATCCGTTCACTCTTGGCCATCTCAATGGCAGGCAACCCAAAAGAGGCGAATGAATAGATGACTATACATTAGCTGTGTGTCTCATTTAAGATCTGTTTCTGTGTCCTACTATCTTCCAGATTTCCATCTTTTTATCTCTTTATTATCGAACTATCTTTTAGTTTCTATAGCACCCGTTTGTCCCATTGTAAGCATTTATATAAAATACAGATAAATAATGATAATGGGGCTACCAAAGCTGGGCAAGTCATGTTAGTGAAATGATTTAGGATATTGCATCAAGACATATCTTCTTCACATAGAGCACCCAAAGGTGTGGCCTATTGGTTAATGAAATGGGTGCAAACCTTGGAGACTACGGACTCAAATCCCAAAAGACAAAAAACATTAGGTAGCAGAATTACTCCTGTTGCGGTAGAAAGTAGCATGTACCCGGTGGAAAAGTCATAGTGAGCAGGAGCTTGCCCGAGCACCACAGTTAAAAAAAATAGGCATATCTTTTTCGTATAGGAAACGCCAAATTAAACACTAAAAGAAAGATCACAATGAATACAAATAACGTTTATATCGCTTGAATTGTGATATATATGCTTGTTCCCTCGTTCAAATTCATCTATCTTTTTCTCTATACCGTGTGAATGATTATGTGTTCACTGTTCATTTGTCATAAAAAACATGACATCATACAGTGTAGAGGTGGTAGTAGGTTACCTTCCTCGTTGAACTTCCTTGCGCATGCTCTCAATTTCCGCTTTGATTACAGGAAACTGCTGCAACTCCGAACGAACCTTGACGAGATCATCCTCCATCTCCTGTAATTTGGCTGTCAGCTCTTTGCGGTCAGCATTTAGGTTCTGAATATCGGTCCTAACCCTAGCCATCTCTACGCTAAGCTCATCGACTGTATGGACTTCGCCCTCCATTCTCCGTGCCTTCTCGTAAATCTCACGCACTTCAGCATCCCTTTCCGCTTTGACCGTTGCAGCGGTGGAAGAGAGATGCCGGAGCTCCTGCTGGACGGCGTCGAGGTCCTGTTTAAGAGCGACGTGCGCGGAGGCGAGACGGTGGTTGTCGAGGAGCAGGGTTTCGATCTCGCGTTCCTGAGCCGCTTCCCGGTCATCAATTAAGACTGGCGGGTGATTACGGGCTTGACCGTGGGTTTGGGTTTCGGGTTGTGGAAAACGGCGGCGAGAATCGTCCGGCAGTTGTGCTGGATAAGGGGCGTGGCGGCGCTTTTTCTTTGTCATGATCAAATAAACAGATGGAATCCTCCGATTTCACACTAAAAATAGGCTTTTAGCTTTCATCGCCGTGAATTGACTCGACCTGTTTTTCTTTTACTTCCTCGGCCTAAATTTACTTCGCCTTTTGATTTTAGTTTTTTATGGGTAACTAGTTTCAATATAGGAGTACGAGTGTTTCTCGTATCCTCTTTTATATCTATATTTATCTTTATCTTTATTTTCTATCTTTAATTAAAGGCACAATATCCTACGAAACACTTGTACTTGTTTCGGTTTATCATCCCGGTCCCTACACTCAATAAAATTTCATCCAGACACTTCAACTTAATCAAAACAAAACTTTTAAACATCTCCAGAATCGTGTGATGCTCACTTGTTTGACGTGGATGACAAATTAGCATCCACATCATATTATATGCCAAAATAATATTATTTAACAAAATTTTAATTTCATAAACAAAAAATAAGCAAAAATTAAAATTAAAATTAAAATTAAAGAAAACTCTTCCTCCCTTCTTCAAACTCACCCACTCAACCTTCTTAAAAGAATAACCCACCCGTCATGGCTTCTCCACCATGAGTACCACTACTTTCTTCACTCCTCTTTTAAAGAAAGTTATCTATCCATGAAAAATACATGAGTAGAGAATTAAGTCTTTTGAATTTTGACTTATTCCTCTACCCCAATTTGGAAGGGCTGTGAAAAAATTTGAAAGCTAAAACCACCGAAAAAAATGGAGGAGTCACAGAGAAGGGAAAGATAATATGATGGAAGAAGAAATACACACCAAGGAGAAATCTAATAAAAGAAGGGATGAAGAAAGATGAAGAAAAAGGGGAAGGGAGGGGATCTAAAGAAGAAGACGAGGAGAAGAGGCGCGCGCACGAGGGGGGGTAGGTCAGAATGAAGGAGGAAGGGACTGAAGAAGAAGAAGAAGAAGAGGGGAGGGGGGAGAACGAAGAGGAGGGGGCAGAACGAAGGGGGAGTCTTATTTCATACTAGAATAACTGGTAGTATTTTTTTATTTATTAATTAATTTTTATTTTTTTTAATAAAGAAAAATCATCGACTCACGCAGCTAATGTGTGTGTAAATCACTCATTTTGTCCACTTCAGCCATATTAGTGCCACATAAGCTCGGTCAACGGTCAGAAGGGTTTAAAAGTCTTATTTTGATTAAGTTGAAGTGTCTGGATGAAATTTTATGTAGTGTAGTGTTACAACCCATGTTTTTGTACCTTAAAGTACGTCGTGAGTCAATTGATGTAAGCTCAAAAAGGATGAAATCCTTCTACAAGGATAAGAAAGGTTTGCCGAAGTGTTAAGCAAGTTAAGATGAATATGAGACTTGTAATCATGATTTAAATGAGTTTAAAGCCATGATATGACTATATATGATGTTTGTATATGAAGTATAAAGTTTGAGAAAAATCGGATTTAAGTTGCGGAAAAACCGACTAAGGATTGCCATGTAATGAAGCTTCTTGAGTAATAAATTTCATGAGCTAGATATGGTCTTTTGGGGGCATATTATATATCAAATTGAAGGTCTTGGAATGTAGTTTCACACTTTTAACCGTTCATTCATACGATAGATATAAGCATCTGAAGGAGGACCTATGCGAGGGTGCCAAGTGGCACATTTTTGACTTTTGAAAAAACGGGATATTTACATCCCAATCTCGTCTCCTTCTCCATTATTCCAGAGACCTCGACCAAATAGCACCCCCAAACTCACCCTCAAGCTCCCCACAAGTATTTCCAATAATATTATCATCCCAGGGACGAAATCAAGTAGCGATAACATCAAAATGATCCATGCGACGTAAGTATCGCTATATCACCTCTCTTTTTCTTTGTAGTTTGAGTTTTGGAAGGTATTTTGAAGTTAATAAAAATGCCTAATTTCTGGTTTCAAGCTCTTAAACACCAAGGAAGATTTATTAATTTATTTCATAATAGTTAAAACTCACGGGACGGTGATCGGAAGCCATGAGTTCGAGTTATTTGATTTGTAATGGACTATTTTGTGGGTTGTTTCGTGTAGCTTTTGGGCTGTATATTTTGCTGCTATTTAATAGAGTTTTTGGAAGATAAATTATGTAGAAAAATGCCACCTAATGGCTAAATGATGTATTAGTCATTCTTTGTAATATTTTTGGGGCGTTGGACACTACTATAGTCGTCGTTTTTGGTATGAATTGATTGGGGTGTGTTGGGCTTTTGTAATCTAAATATAACATTGATTTCGACTTGCATCCACTGTAGGAGGTAATTATATTGTGTTCCTACAGGCGCTTAAGGTTATCTTGGCATTGGTTAAGTTAAATGGATGAACTAGACATGAACTAGTGTATAAAGTTGCTAATTAAGAATAATTGGAGTTGTGGATCATTTTCTTTGCTATAGATATATGGTATAAGGCTGGAATTATTGATGAATGACTTCATTATCATGTTTATGATACTATTAAGTTAAAGTAAAAAGTCTATAAGGGATGATATGGGGTATACAAATTCCAATTGAAGCTTGTCGCTCGTCGTAAAATAGTTATGACTTGTTGTTGTTTTATGGTGTCTTGTTATTGATAATTATGTATTGCTGGATTTCTCTGGTAATTGTTGTTGGTATATGGCATTGTAGGAGGCTCTTGTTTTAGGGGAAATGCTGCCCGAATTTATATAAACGAACTACAAGTTTAAGTTGCAGACTTAGCCTTTATTCAACACTGATTTTGAATCTCCTTATGCAATGGTAGATTGAGTTAAGTTGTTTGAAGAGTAGCTTGGGAGGTATTAAGGACCCACCATGGTTAAGGTATGTTAAGGCACTTCCCTTTTTCTTTTGGCATGATCTAAAGTGAAATGAATACGCTATTTCATAACAGATCTACTCCTAGAAACTAAGGTTGCCCATGTTGTTCTTTCCTTATAAAGTTATTCTAAGAAAGTATGTATGATCCTTGAATCTTATAGAAGCTCATAGTGATGGTATGATGTCCATAATGTTAATCGAAGGTGCAACGACCTTAAGTCACTCCAAAAGGTTTAGAACGTAATTCCATGAGTTGAGTATGCATTATATATAGTATCTATTTTACTCTACCGAGCCGCACTATAGTAGGCCGAGTAAGACACCTATTGTGCAACCACTGATCAGTTGGATTTACTGAGCTTCACGTGGCCGGGTACGATTCTACCAAGCCTTATGATGGCCGGGTACGTTTTTACCGAGTCCTCTTTGAGGCCGGGTACGATATGATGATGATGAAGATGCCTACAGACGCGTATGTTTTTAAAATTTTATGTATATATATGTATTATGCATTTCATGTCAGTAGCCCACAGAGGCACGCAGATGTTACATGTTGTATCTCCTCTATCTCTCTTTATATTACTATTCTTGTTTATGTTTTCCTACCTTACATACTCAGTACTTTATTTGTACTGACGTCCCTTTTGCCTGGAGACGCTGCGTTTTATGCCCGCAGGTCCCAATTGATAGGTTGACATTCCTCCTAGTAGGCTATCAGCTCAGTGGAGGTGTTGGTGCACTCCACTTGCTCCGGAGTTGCCTATTTAGTTAGTATGCTTTGGATATGTATTGATTGATATGGTGGGGCCCTGTCCCGACCTTTATGATTATATGTACTCTTAGAGGCTTGCAGACAGATGTCAGGTTTAGGGATACTTGTATGGCCTTGTTGGCCTATGTGTTGGGTTTACAAATGGTCATGTCGGTCTTATAGGCCCGTATGTCACATGTATAAATTTGTATATCATGTTGGGTCGTCATATGTTGAGTATTCCCTTATGTTTTATTCTTGTTATCTCATGACGGGTTTCTGGCTTATTTACTCAAGATAGTATAATAAGAAAGATATTTTATGTTGGTACTCGGTTGAGTAAGGTACCGGGTGCCCATCGCGGCCCTTTGGTTTGGGTTGTGACAGAAGTGGTATTAGAGCAGTTTTGTCGTAGGGAGTCTATAAGCCCCGTCTAGTAGAGTCTTGTTTATGGGTGTGTTGTGCACCACACTTATAAGCAGGAGGCTACATGGCATTTAGGACCGCCACTCTTTTTCTTATTCTAGATCATGTTGTAGAGCTCAATTGTAAGAATTCAAACTTCTAAAATCTATTGTGTTCATAATACAACGATACCTCATCCAAACAGACAGTTGGTATGAGATTGAATGTGGTTGTGGAAGAGTTGAGTCAGAGGAATTCGATTTTGCATCATGCTTATGATGAGCAAATGTGGGGTCTTCACTAGATCATGTGTGTACTATGATGTGTAAGATTCTTGATAAGGATCCCTAAGACAAGAATATATATTCACTCGTATGGTAAAAAGGAATAAGAGAATCGGAAAGTAGACACAAGTTTCAGCAAGTAAAACAAGCAAGATGAAGAAGGGTACGAGGTACCTAGTTAATGAAGATTATCAGTATTTACAATTCAGGCAGAGAAATGTAAGTATTGGTGTCACCTTCAATATTATGGAGATATATACAATTGACCACACCCATCTCAGTTATGCCCTATTGGAACTAACAAATATAGTTTAAGAGAAGAATGTGATATCAAGATTCAGTTTGGGTTTGAGTAACCCAAAAATTGTGGATGGATTGTTATCATTAACTAATGTTTCCGAAAGATGGTGCAAATGTGGTAATAAATCTCCTTGTGAGATACCTAAATGGTGAACTCTAGAGTAGTACAATCAAATATAAATACTGGAATATTCAGAAATTTCAGAAGATAGGCAGTGGGATCCTAGAAGGGACAAATATTTACCTTAGTATGACTCTAGCCCCGAGTAAAAAAAAGGAGAATGTTAGGCATTCCAAAGAGCCAGTGAGATAAAGCTAGGGGAGCAAAAAGGGAAAGAAATTTTTGTTGGAATTTTCAGAATAAAGTGATAGACAAAAAGTATTATCCGGAGAATAAGAGGAGAGTAAATGAAGCATCATGAGTAAGATGTGATATATGGGTGATAAC